GATCAGGCACTGGGGGTCCCGGGGATGGTGCCCCACCCTCGGGGTCAGGCACTGGGGGTCCCGGGGATGGTGTCCCACCCTCAGGGTCAGGCACTGGGGGTCCGGGGATGGTGTCCCCACCATGACAATGAGGCCAGGCAGTGGTGAGAAGCCTTGTCTGCCTGCAACCCCCCCGCCCACCAGGCCCCAGGATGGATGTTGGGGAGGGGGATGTGGGGGAGGGGGGGGTCCCCAGCCTGTCTCCTAGCAACCGGTCTCCTAGCAACCCCCCCAGTTGCCTGGCAGCGGTTGGTGCAGGACTTGTGGTCGTCCATACCCGAGGAGATGGGAGGGGGCTGGGGGGGCAGTGGGGCTGTGGCACTCGGTGCCCCTCACCTACACCCCACATCACCCACCGGGGCTGAGCCGCCCCCCGCCCTGTGAGGCACCCCCCACCCTCAGCTCAGGGCAATAGGGTGGGGGGGCTCTCCTTAGTCTGGAGAGTGGTCCCCGAGGCAGGGGGCTGCTGTGAGCCCCCAAAACCCCCGGCTTTGGGGACACAATGGGGACACCCTGAGAGGCTCCACGCTGCTGTTGATCACTTGGGACAGCAGGAGAACAAAGGCAGGAGGCATTTCCCATGCAGAGATGGACCTACAGTGGGGTCAGGGCTGGGGGCTGAGCTGCTTTGGGGTCACGGTGCCCCAAAACAGCCACCTGCCATTGGGACCAGCCTGGTGGGAGCCAAATCTCCTGGTTTTTCTCTACTCAGCAAAGCCAGGGCCACCTGGTCCTTTGTTCTGGTGGGCGATGCCCAAATCTCATCCCCTCTTTGTCTGCAGCTCTGCAGCTCCAGCAGCGCCCCAAAAACAGGGCACCAGGAGGGGCATGGGGCTGGCAGTGGGGACATGGGGCTGGCAGTGGGGACATGGGGATGGTGCTGGGGACACTGGTTTGGCAGCAGGGACGTGGGAACCTTGGATCTGCCCAGAAATCTGCATAATGTGGGAAACACCAGAAAAAAAAAACGGGATTTTTCAGCAGGGGGGGGATCCTGGCAGCTCCACCTGCAGCAGCCGGGCCCCTCCAGGACTAGGGAACCCCCCCCCAGGACTAGGGACCCCTCCCCAGGACTAGGGAACCCCAAGGCTGTGGGGCTGGTGGCTCGGGGAGTCTGTGCAGGGGCTGCAGCAGATGGAGGGGTGGCCAGGGGACGCGTGTCCCAGTGTCCCAGCTGTGTCCCAACCACCAGCTGCCGCCCAGCAGCTGCTGCTGTCCGACCTCCAGTCCAAAACTGCCCTGGGGGCTTTTGTCCCCTGTGTCCTCCCGCTGCTCCTCACCCCCTGGCCCTGCTCCCCGCTGTCCCCAGCTGCCCGGGGGATGAGTCTTTGTCCCCCCGGCCGGGCCCCGCAACGCTGGGTGCCACTGCCCGAGCAGACAAAGAGGCGCTGGAAGGGCCGGGCACGGCAGGGAAGGGCCGGGACGGGCACGGGGCCATGGCAGGGACGTGGCTGAGAACCAGGGTACTGTGGCACGGCCAGGGATGGGGACGGTTCCCTGGGGATGGGGACCAGGGCGTGGCTGGCTGGAAATGGGGGCCGGAGTGTGACAAGGGATGGGAACAACGGGATGGCCGGGGACAGACACCAGGGTGTGGCCGGGGATAACCGGGAGCTCGGGCAGCGGCCAGACAAGGGGGAGGGCTGCATCACCGGGGACGGGGACCAGGGCCTGCTCCTACCCCGTGTACCGGGAGCCCCGGGGCCAAGAGACCCACAACGAGCAGGGAACGAGAAGAACGGCGGGACTTGGGGGAAAGGGGCCGTGGGGGATGGGGACCGTGGGATTGAGACCTGAGCGTGACCGCTGGCTCAGCCAAGACCGGGGACCGGGGCGTGGCAGGGACGGTGCCAAGGACACAGCCGGGGCCCCTCCGGCGGCGGGCGGGAGGCAGCGGCGGGGCCGGGCCGTGGCCGCCGCAGCCCCCGGGCCCCCCTCCCGCACCGCCCGGCCTTTGTCTGCGGCTGCGGGGGGGCATTACCTCATTGCGGGCCGCCAATGGCCGCCTCCGCCGCCGGTTCCACCGCCCCCCCGGCCCCGCCGCCCGCCCCGCTTCGCTCCGCCCGCCGCCGCTATAAAGCCACGCAGCGAGCCCCGCGCTCCGCCGCGCCTCTTACATCGACCGCCTCAGCGTCGGGCTGTGAGACCGCCCCGGAGCGACCGCCGCCATGGTGAGGGGGTGAAAGGGTGTGGGGGGGTCGGGACCTTGTCTTTATTCCCACAATCCCTATTCCCTTGGTCCCTTTATACCCCATTCCCGCCGGCCCCATCCCTCCCACCCCCGGACCTGTGGTTTTCCCCGGTCCTAATCCTCACCCTCCCATCGTAGTCTCCGATTTTCATCCCCGGCCCCCGTCTCGCCGTGTCTCCGGTCCCCGACCCCTCCCGATCTCCATTCCTAAGGGTTTGTCGTCCACCCCTCCCGGGATGAGCCCTCGGCGCCGGGACTCCTCCCGCACCGGGCGTGGCTCCCGTTACACCGAGTAAAATGTGTCGCCCGGGACCCAGCCCCGAGTGTACCTCCGGTTAAACGGGCCTGCAAGGGTCTTTCTGTCTCCCCCGGGACCGGCCCCCGAGCCCACAGCGGGCGTGGCTCCCGTTAAACCGGGCAAGATGGGACCTCCGGGACTTAGCACAAAGCTTCCATAGGGCGTGGCACCCGTTAAGCCAGGCAGGATGAGACCCCCGGGACTCAGCACTGAGCCGCCATAGGGCGTGGCTCCCGTTAAACCGGCCAGGATGGATCCCTGGCGCTGATCCACGGTACCGCACCGGGTGTGGTTCCCATTAAACCGGGCAAGATGGGACCTCCGGGACCGAGCCCCGAGCCTGGACCGGGCGTGGCTCCCGTTGAACCGGGCAGGATGGAACCCCGAGACACAGTACCGAGCTCCTGTCGGGCGTGCTATGGTTAAACCCGACAGGACGGCTCCCCGGGACCGAACCCCGAGCCTGAACCAGTCGTGGCTCCCGTTAAACCGGGCAGGATGGGTCCCCGGAGCTAAATACGTACAGGGCGTGGCACCGGTTGAAAGGGGCAGAATCGGGCCCGCATCATTCAGTACCGAGCCACCGTCCATCCCTGGGCGTGGCTCCCCGTTAAACCGGGCAGGAGAGACCCTCTTTCCCCCCCCCCCCCCCCGCCCCGGTGCTGAGCCCTCAGCCCGTGCTGGGCGTGGCCCCGGTATAATACGGGAGAAAGTGTCCCCGGTGGGGGTGGGCAGGGCGGAATGGGCCCCCCGGTGCTGAGCACCCCATCCCGCACCAGAGGTCCAAGCACGGCAGGGTGAGACCTCCCCCCCCCACGCCAGTCCCGCACTGGGCGTGGCCGTGCTTCGACTGGGGCTCGAGTGGGCAGGAGGAGCCCACGGTGCTGAGCCACGCTGGGGCTTTGCTGGGTCTCATCAGGGCAGGATGGGGACCCCGGGGCTCCCTGTCTCACCTTGGCTACAGTCCCAGTCACCCAGGGCAGGATGAGCCACAAGTCCTGAGCTCTCCATCCCCCACAGGCAGGGTGCCAGCAGTGAGGGGCACATGACAGGATGGGACCCTCTGCACTGGGTGCACCTCCAGACCCCGAACAATGGGTGTGCCCGGGCAGGATCTGGCACCAGCCAGCCTCGGGCAGGGACCCTTCCCGACTCGGTGACAGTGTTGGGCTGGTGCCACAGCTGGGCAGGGGGACAAAAGGGGTGACCGGTGGCGTGTGCCCCCACAGCGCGAGTGCATCTCCATCCACGTGGGCCAAGCGGGCGTGCAGATCGGCAATGCCTGCTGGGAGCTGTACTGCCTGGAGCACGGCATCCAGCCCGACGGGCAGATGCCCAGCGACAAGACCATCGGCGGGGGGGACGACTCCTTCAACACCTTCTTCAGCGAGACGGGCGCCGGCAAGCACGTGCCCCGGGCCGTGTTCGTGGACCTGGAGCCCACGGTGATCGGTGAGGGCGCGGGGGGCGGCCGGCGGGGCGGGCGCTGGCGGCGGGCGCTGGGTGCTAACGGGGCCCGGGGCTGTCCCCGCAGACGAGGTGCGCACCGGGACCTACCGGCAGCTCTTCCACCCCGAGCAGCTGATCACGGGCAAGGAGGATGCGGCCAACAACTACGCCCGCGGGCACTACACCATCGGGAAGGAGATCATCGACCTGGTCCTTGACCGCATCCGCAAGCTGGTAGGGGCACTGGGGGTGCAGGTGGCGGGTGAGGACAAAGCCCCCATTCTGTCTTGCTCTCCCTTCCAGACTCGCTGGGTTGGGTTTAGATTTAATTTATTAATTAATGGTAATCCTGTTGTGCAGTGGCTGCCATTGGCCGGCAGCGGGACACGGCGCAGCTGGAGCTGGAGCGGCTCCACAGCGCCGCAGCCCCCGGGCGCTGCCGGTGCTGAGCTCGGCAATTCCCTCTTTGTTCCCACTTGGCTCCTGACGTGGCTGAGCCCAGCTGCGTGTGCTGGGGATGGGCACCCTGAGCCGGTCCCTTCCAGAGTCATGTGGCCGTGACAGTTTATGGTCAAACCTGTCCCCACTCTGCTGCTGAGCCGGTGGCAGTTCTGCACTTTGAGGTGCCCCTGAGCACTGTCTCACCCCAAAGGCCAAGCAGCTTCCCTGGGTGATTCACAGTGAGTCAGTGGGTAACAGATGGAGTCAGTGCCACCCCATCCCCATCCTGCTGACTCTGGCTCTGCTGCTGGAAAGCCCCAAATATCCTTGTGAGGCCACGGAGAGGAAGGAGTAACTTCTGCTGCCTGGAGTAAACATGCCTCCCCACCTCGTCTCTCCTTGCAGGCTGACCAGTGCACAGGGCTGCAGGGCTTCCTGGTGTTCCACAGCTTTGGCGGTGGCACCGGCTCTGGCTTCACCTCGCTGCTGATGGAGCGGCTCTCTGTCGACTACGGCAAGAAGTCCAAGCTGGAGTTCTCCATCTACCCGGCCCCGCAGGTGTCCACGGCCGTGGTGGAGCCCTACAACTCCATCCTCACCACCCACACCACCCTGGAGCACTCCGACTGCGCCTTCATGGTGGACAACGAGGCCATCTACGACATCTGCCGCCGCAACCTGGACATCGAGCGTCCCACCTACACCAACCTCAACAGGTTGATAGGCCAGATCGTGTCCTCCATCACGGCCTCGCTGCGCTTTGACGGAGCCCTGAATGTCGACCTGACGGAATTCCAGACCAACCTGGTGCCCTACCCCCGCATCCACTTCCCGCTGGCCACCTACGCCCCGGTGATCTCTGCTGAGAAGGCTTATCACGAGCAGCTCTCGGTGGCCGAGATCACCAACGCCTGCTTCGAGCCGGCCAACCAGATGGTCAAGTGCGACCCACGGCACGGCAAGTACATGGCGTGCTGCCTGCTGTACCGCGGGGACGTGGTGCCCAAGGATGTCAACGCTGCCATCGCCACCATCAAGACCAAGCGCACCATCCAGTTTGTGGACTGGTGCCCCACTGGTTTCAAGGTGGGCATCAACTACCAGCCGCCCACGGTGGTGCCCGGGGGCGACCTGGCCAAGGTGCAGCGCGCCGTGTGCATGCTGAGCAACACCACGGCCATCGCCGAGGCCTGGGCCCGCCTGGACCACAAGTTTGACCTGATGTACGCCAAGCGGGCGTTCGTGCACTGGTATGTGGGGGAGGGCATGGAGGAGGGCGAGTTCTCGGAGGCCCGTGAGGATATGGCTGCCCTGGAGAAGGATTATGAGGAGGTGGGGGTGGATTCTGTGGAAGGGGAGGGAGAGGAGGAAGGGGAGGAATACTAAACTCAAAAGGGTGCTGCTTGAACAGGGAACATAAACTAGTTGAAGACCCCACGGGGTCTGTAGCAGTGTGTGCGCCTCGGTCTGTCTGTCAATGGTCTGTGCTTCAATGGAAAAGTCTGTGACGGACTCACCCGTCCTCTCCTGTGGGTCTGAATAAAAAGCATTCCCTGTCTTACCCTGCCTCTGGTGTCTTCACTCCCTGTGGCGATGTCCCTGCCTGGCTTTGACACTGTCCCCACCAGCACATGACGTGGCCCTGCAGTCCCTGTGTGCACTCAGGGTCTCCAACCTCTCCCTGAGGGTGAGCTCAGCACCCCGCAGACCCCCCAAACTGCTCCTCCCAAACCTGTGCTCTTTCCTCATCCCGGTGGGCTCGGTGTGGTGCCCTCACCCCTGGGGCTGTGGAACTGGAGGGGTTTGGGGTTTCTTAGTAGCAGGAGTCATGCAAGCCCCATGTGAGCACACTGGGGGCCTTAACTCCTCTGCGTGGGCTGGAGATGCCTGAACCCCCCTGTTTGGCACAAGTCTTTGGGATCTCTGCCACCTCCTCTTCCTGGGCAGGAGAGGGGCTGCATTGCCCTGGGGGTGGGGAGGGGATGCTCTGCCCACCGCTGGACACAATGAGGTCAACACCAACCACAACATGTCCCTAAGTTCCTCCGGATCTTTCAGGGATGAGGAATTGGCCCTGCTGGTCCCAGCCACTGGAGTGGAGAAGAAGTGCAGTAATAGCCCCCTTGAATGGGGGAGCCTCTTTCCCCTCCCTTTCCTCTCCTTTTACCCTTCTCCCTCACGGCTCCATGGAGGGATAAATAATGAAGGGGAAGTTGAACACGGAGTGAAATTCGAGAGGGTGATGCAGCTGCGGGGGGACCCCTGGGACCCTCATTTGTGTGGTACACCCCTCCCTCTTCTGCATGATGAGCTCAGGCTGAGCCTCGATGAGCAGCACCTGGGCCAAGCTCCTCCAGTCTATCAGCAGCTCTGTCAGCTCCCAGGAACTTGTGTTGTCAAACCAACTCCTTGATTTTAAAGAACAGCCTTGAGAAGTAATTTTTTCTGAAGGACAACTCAAGTGCAACAATTTGTTATCAAACTTTCACAGGAAGGTCCAAATTGTAGCCAGGATAGAAGATTAGGAAAAAGCCAACACTTGCAATGTTATAACCAGCAGGTCCTGAGTGAGACCCCTGAGTTCACCTGGGCCACAGCGGGCAGGAGAACTCTCAGGGACGGTGAACTCACAAGTTTGGGATTCTCAGAGGATGAACAAAGCTTGGGCTGATCCCCCAGGACCTGGAGCTCAACCCTCAGCCTGTTGAGAAGACACAAAGACACTGATGTCAGTAGTGAACTCAAGGTGGATTTTTCACAGGTATTTGTACGTCCTCTTCAGGTATGTGTGTGTGCAAGGGTGAATATTCTATAGCAAATGTGCTAGGAATGTTGATCTCAGATTCTTAAGTGCTTTAGATTCATAAATAAGATAGGCCTGTAAGTGTGTTACTGTTCTGCCTATAGTAAATTCTATATGAAACTGTCGGTAAATTATTTACATTAGGCCCTGGATTAAGTGCTCTTAAACCTTTAGGCTTGAACTGTTGGTCAAGCCCAGGGCTCAGTTTGACAATGGGGCAGGGGGTCCACTCTGGCCTTTCTGACTCAGCGGGAAAATCTCAATTATTATTCCATTTTATCATTCTTTTCTCATCCCCAGCCTCCCTTTAGGTAATTTTTGGCCAAATGTAGCTTTACACTGCTCAATTTAAAATTTTAACCCCATTTTCCTCTGTCGGCTCTCACTACTGAGTCATAGAGGGAAGTCACGGGTGAGTTTTGTCACACTTTCACTTTAACATTAAACCTGCTTTTGGTCGTTTTTTTGAGCAACCCAAAACACTTCCTAACACCATTCCAGAGCTGATGTGATGCGTGGGGATCTGGGGGGGGGGGGGGGGGGGGCGTGGGGCGTTACACCCCCCTCCCCACCCCAGAACACACATAAACACCAATTTACAGACCCGGCAGCTGCTGCCCCCCGGTTCCACCCGGGACCCCCACACTGAGAGCGGGGTGGGAGCCTGGAACGGGCAGTTTTGGGGGTGGGGGTGGGGAGCAGCCGGTTCCTCCCCGGTGGGAACGGCGGGGCCGGAGCGGCCACGCGGCCAGCGAGGCAAATGGCGGGGGAGCCACGTCAGCGCTGCAGCAATGCAGTGCAGCAATGCAGCTCCAGCAATGCAGCTGCGGCGGATGCTGCCGCGCCAGCCCCGCTGCCCGGTAACCCCGGCCTGGGGTGGCTCCGGTGCGGCGGGAGGGGGTGCGGACCCCCCCCGCCCCGTCCCCGGTAGCGTGTGCTGCCGAAGCGGCCGCCGGGTTTTCCGCAAAGCTCTCGGCGAAAGAGGAAGCGGATTATTGGGTGCAAATAGCTCCGGGGATTAGGTGGGGGCTGGGGATGGCCCCCCACACCCCTCCGGTGCTCTCACAGCCGGTAGGGAGCTGCTCAAAGTTGGGGGGCACAGTGAGCCCCCCCCCCTCCCCCACCCCAGCACGGCCCCCGTTTTATGGCAGTCACGGTGGTCCCTCCGTGCTGCGGACATGGCTGAGACAAACCCCACCCTGAAAAGAGGGGTCCACCCCCCACAGTGTGCGAACCCCGCACCCCCCAACCCCCCCATCGCAGTGGGACCCAGGGGTACAGATGGGCTGGGAGGGGCCGGGGGGTGCAGATGGACTTGGGGGGTGCAGATGGACTTGGGGGGTGCTGGGGGGGGTGGGGAGGGGCTGCACAGGCTGCAGATGGTCTGGGAGGGACCCCCGGGGTGCAAATAATCCAGACCGGGGGGGGGGGGGGGTGCAGATGGGGCGGGGGGGTCCGTCCGCAGAAGCCGATTAACAACCGGGGGACGGCGGGGGGACGACACCGGGCGCGGCAGCACGTGCCGCCCTCCGTCCCCCTCCCCCCCGTCCATGTCGCAGTTTTCCTCCGCAGCGGAGCCGCACCGGGCGGGAGGGGCGGCGGAAGGAGGGGGGGGCGGGAACGGCTGTGCCCCCCCCCTCCCCAATCCTACGCGACAAACGCATTACCGGGGGGGCAAAGGACCATAGGAAGGTCAGACCCCCGCCGTACTGCTCATTCCCCGTACGGGGGACCCGTCGCTAACCGGGGGGAGGGCGGAGGGGGCTGCACCCCGCGGAGGAGGGACGGTCCCGGTCCCCCCTCCCCCCAAGCCCCGCAGCACGGAGGGCGGAGGAGGCGGAGCGCGCCACACGCCTCAGCCAATCCGCGGTGCGAATGGGCTGATGGACGGGCGCTGCGGCCAATAGAAGCGCGGGGCGGGGGCGCTCGGTCCGCCCCCCGGGCCGGTATATACCGGGGCGCCCGGGGGCGGCGGTAGCTGGTACTTGCGTCGATTCCTTGCTTGTCGGGACGAGTAACCGAGCCGCAGCCATGGTGAGGGGAGGGAGCTGGAGAAATGCGGGGGACGGCCCGGGGCATGGCGGGGAAAAGGAGGGGCAGGGCTGGATGTGGGGGTGCGGAGGATTGGGGGGAATGGGTGCGGAGGAGGGGAGGGGGAAGGAGTGGCGGGGGGGAGACTTCGAGAAGCGGGAAATAGGGCGGAGGGGTGGGGGGGAGCTAAGGTGGAAATTTGGGAGGGGATGTGGGGGTACGGTAGGAATCGTGGGCGGGTAGAGCAGGGGCTGGGGGTGTTGAACAGGCATAGAGGATGAGGTCCTTGATGGAGGGGAGCACCCTTTGGCGGGGGCTCACAGCACCCCTGGGGGGGCCGCACGTGGTCTCCGGTAGCCCACCGGGGGGGGCGGGGCCACGCCGACCGTTACCGTTCCCGCGCGCGGGAAGGCGCGCGGCGGTGGCACAGCCCCGCCCCTCGCCAGGGGCACAGCCCCGCCCCCACCGCATACTCACCCTTCCCCCCCCCCCCCCCCAAAATCTAGCCCTGAACCCCCTCCCTGGAGCACGACACGAGATTCCCTGTTTTCTCAGCCGAGCCCATCAGGATGGTCCCGCTCCACGGCTCCCGGAGGGGCTCGTGGGGGCCCCGTTCCCCCCCCGAGCCCCTCCGGTCCCCCCCGGTCCCCCCCGGTCCCCCCCGGTCCCCGGGTGGGAGGAACGCGCGGGGCAGGGAGCGGCCGGGAATGTGCGCGACCCCCCCGGTGACGCCACCGGCCCATCCCCGCGGTTTCGGGTCAGCTGCTGCAGTCCCGGCCCAGCTGCTGCGCTGAGCTTCCTCTTCCTCCTCCTCCTCCTCCTCCTCCTCCTCCTCCTCCTGACCTCGCCCTGCCCAGCCTGCCTGGCTGGAAAATGTCCTCCCTGGGCGCCATTTGGGAGCAGATGGTGGCAGCTGCGGGGTGGTGGGACCCCCAGAGGCTGCCCACGGGTGGCTACAGTCTGTTCCCGAACACGGGTGTCACCCCACAGCTCCCTGCTCAGATCCTGGCTGGCCCTGGCAAAGCTCAGCCACTAGTTGGGGTGGCACTAGGGCACAATTGGGGTTTGGGGGTGCTGAGCTTGAGCCCCTGGGAGATCTGTTCATCCCCCAGAAGGCAGCGTGGCAGCTCCGGGGAGGGACAGGATGGGGCCCTCGGAGCTGAGCATGCTCTGTACTGAAGAAGAGATGTTCCCTGGGATATAAGGGTGTCCCTGCCACCTGCAGAGGGTGTTAAGTGGCCTTGTTCTTATGGGAGCCAGGGATGGAGGGGACTGGGAATAGTGGGGACCAGCAATAGCCCTGGGGAACCCCAATTCCTGGCTCTGTGGGGTGTGCAGGATGAAGGGCACCAACTGGTGCAGGGTCTCAGGCCCTGGGGAGAATGGGACCACCAACTCTGAGCACAGTGGGGGCATCTGGGCCCAACCCAGCCAGCCTCAGGCAGGGACCCTTCCCAGCTGGGTGCCAGCCCGGTGGGTGCTGGGGTGGCACAGAGAGGGGACAAAAGGGTGACCAGTGGCGTGTGCCCCCACAGCGCGAGTGCATCTCCATCCACGTGGGCCAAGCGGGCGTGCAGATCGGCAATGCCTGCTGGGAGCTGTACTGCCTGGAGCACGGCATCCAGCCCGACGGGCAGATGCCCAGCGACAAGACCATCGGCGGGGGGGACGACTCCTTCAACACCTTCTTCAGCGAGACGGGCGCCGGCAAGCACGTGCCCCGGGCCGTGTTCGTGGACCTGGAGCCCACGGTGATCGGTGAGGGCGCGGGGGGCGGCCGGCGGGGCGGGCGCTGGCGGCGGGCGCTGGGTGCTAACGGGGCCCGGGGCTGTCCCCGCAGACGAGGTGCGCACCGGGACCTACCGGCAGCTCTTCCACCCCGAGCAGCTGATCACGGGCAAGGAGGATGCGGCCAACAACTACGCCCGCGGGCACTACACCATCGGGAAGGAGATCATCGACCTGGTCCTTGACCGCATCCGCAAGCTGGTGGGTGTCCTGTGGGGTCTCGTGGGGTGGGTTCATCCCTGTGGGGGATGTGGGGACAAAGGGAAGCTCTGGATGTCCCTGGGCAGGTCCTTCTCAGCCCATGGGCACTTTAGGGCAGAGGGTGGGGTTGTGCCAGGAGAGACCTCCTACCTTCCTGATGGGACCTGCATGACTCTTGTGCCCTGGCTCTGGATGGATTTGTTGTGAGTCATTTGTCAGCCTGCATAACATCCTGGCTCGCTATGGGGTCTGGATTCTCTTAAGTGATCAGGATCAGCCCCTTCCATTCCCCTTGGCCTGAATTCCTTTACTCGGGGCTCTGCAGCACCACCAGGCCAGGATGTGCACCCTGAGCATGGCATGTTTCAGGGGTGCGATGGGGATTGTGGGATTCTGTGTCATTTCTGTCCCTGGGAAAACCTTATTTCATCCCTTTTCTAAGGTCATTTGAGGTTTCTCCTTTATCTGCATGCTGATCCTGCTTGACCAACTGCTTATGAGCAGCTGTGCCAAGCATTTAACTCTTGCTGGGCAGCTCTAGTGGATTGCCTCTTCCCTCAAGCAGATTGCCGGGGTGATAGGAGGAAGCAGCTGAAGGGAGGGGGCAGGAAGGGGGTCCCTTTGCCTGAGGCCAGGTCATGCTGCATCACAGGGTGCTGTGGCTGGAAGTGGAACGGGCAGAGGTGCCCCTAAAGCTTTGAGATCCTTGTGGGAAATATGTGTGTTCCTGGGCAAGTCAGCAACTTCACTAGCAGCTGAAGTTCAGAATTACTGACAGTTTGGTCTTGTTTTCCTCTTCCCACCTGGCAGGCTGACCAGTGCACAGGGCTGCAGGGCTTCCTGGTGTTCCACAGCTTTGGCGGTGGCACCGGCTCTGGCTTCACCTCGCTGCTGATGGAGCGGCTCTCTGTCGACTACGGCAAGAAGTCCAAGCTGGAGTTCTCCATCTACCCGGCCCCGCAGGTGTCCACGGCCGTGGTGGAGCCCTACAACTCCATCCTCACCACCCACACCACCCTGGAGCACTCCGACTGCGCCTTCATGGTGGACAACGAGGCCATCTACGACATCTGCCGCCGCAACCTGGACATCGAGCGTCCCACCTACACCAACCTGAACCGCCTCATCAGCCAGATCGTGTCCTCCATCACGGCCTCGCTGCGCTTTGACGGAGCCCTGAATGTTGACCTGACGGAATTCCAGACCAACCTGGTGCCCTACCCCCGCATCCACTTCCCGCTGGCCACCTACGCCCCGGTCATCTCTGCTGAGAAGGCTTATCACGAGCAGCTCTCGGTGGCCGAGATCACCAACGCCTGCTTCGAGCCGGCCAACCAGATGGTCAAGTGCGACCCACGGCACGGCAAGTACATGGCGTGCTGCCTGCTGTACCGCGGGGACGTGGTGCCCAAGGATGTCAACGCCGCCATCGCCACCATCAAGACCAAGCGTAGCATCCAGTTTGTGGACTGGTGCCCCACTGGTTTCAAGGTGGGCATCAACTACCAGCCGCCCACGGTGGTGCCCGGGGGTGACCTGGCCAAGGTGCAGCGCGCCGTGTGCATGCTGAGCAACACCACGGCCATCGCCGAGGCCTGGGCCCGCCTGGACCACAAGTTTGACCTGATGTACGCCAAGCGGGCGTTCGTGCACTGGTACGTGGGGGAGGGCATGGAGGAGGGCGAGTTCTCGGAGGCCCGTGAGGATATGGCTGCCCTGGAGAAGGATTATGAGGAGGTGGGGGTGGATTCTGTGGAAGGGGAAGGAGAGGAGGAAGGGGAGGAATACTAAACGCTGGGTTCCTTCTGTCACTGTTGCATGTCCACGAAATGTCTGCTTCAAACACTTGAGCTTCCTTGTGCACTGCGTGGGGTTCGGCCCCGTGGGTCTGGCCAGGGATATGCTGCCCTCTCGGATGTGATCATGCAGATTTTCCATGTGTCTGTACCGTGTCTGTGAATAAAAGGCTTTAAGAGAAGCTACACTGTGTCAATACAAACCCTCTGTGTCAGTGCTCGCTATCGCCCGGGCCCGCTGGCCCCATCCCATGGGAACAGACTGTCCCTATTGTCTGTGCCCAGTGAGGCAGCTGGCACCGTACTGCTGTTACCCGAGCTGCCCAGCCCTTCCCTCTTCTAGCTGGGGGGGTGAAGCCCCCACATCCCTGGGTTCCACCGGGTGGGGCCTCACCCTGGGTCCTGCTGCGCTCCTTCACGAGCTGTCTGTGATCCCCCCCATGGGGATCATGCCCTGCCCGGTTGCCCCGGAGCTCGGGAGCCCAGCCCTGCCCCCGCGGCTCTCCGTGATTACCACCGGGATTAGCCGCGGCCCGGGATTAGCTCCGTCCCTGCTGCCGATCCCGCGGGGGCTGCGCTGGGGCCGTGGGAGCGGCGGGCGGGCTCAACCTATCAGCGCGCGGCGCGCCGCACTCTGACCAATGAGCTTCGCCTCATTCACGTCCCGGAGCCAATGGGCGGCGGGGGGCGGGGCCGGCCGGGCTCTTTCAAGGCCGCGGGGAGCGGATACTTTGTAGCGGGGAGGGGGCGTGGCCACAGGGGGCGGGGCCAGAGAGGGGCGGGGCCGGACCCGGCGGGCCCAGAGCGGCGGTACCGGCGGTACCGGAGAGGCTGAACCGGCGTGGCGGTACCGGCCTTGGCGTCCTACCCCTGCCCGCAGCAGCCCTGCCCGGCCCTGCCATGCTGGCCGCAGAATGGCCCCTGTGGAGCAGGACGCGCTGGCCGTGCGGGAGCAGCTCTTCCACGAGAGGGTCCGCGAGTGCATCGTGAGTTCCCGGGGGCGGCGGGCGGGGGAAGGGGCCCGGTGTGGCGGGGAGAGGTGGGAGGGGGGCTGGGAGCTCGCAGCCCTCCATGGGACCGTCAGGATTCCCGGTGGCGGCTCCGCGGCCCGGCCGTGGCAGAGCTCCACACCCGGTGCTTATCGGGGCCGGAGCCGCCGCGGCGGCGTGTGTGCAGCAGATAACGGGGACCGAGGGCTGGACCCTGCTGAGCCCCCCTCCCGCGACCCCTCTGCCGGCTCGAGCAGTCCCAGCTGCGCTCCCCTCATGCTGGGAGGGCTGGGGGGTGCTGGGCTGTGGAGGTGTCAGAGCTGGGCCACCCCCATGCCAGCCTCCTGGCTCTGTCCTTGTCCCCAGGCCAGCAGCTCGGTGTCAGCAGGAAGGGACCCCACAGAGCCCCAAAACCTCGGGAACCACAGAGGGACACAGCTGGGTTTGCTCCTCTTGCTGCTGCCACAGACTGAGGGATGGGGGTGACCTGAACGTCCTGGCATCTCCTAAGGGCCCTGGGCACGCTGCGTGCCTGGCAGCCCAGCGGGTTATGATGGGCAGTGCTGAGGCTGCCTTGCCACAGCCACGTTCGGTGCCTACAGGGAGGAGCTGGTGGCCAAACCTGGCAGCTCTGTCCCCCAGACCTCCATTCCAGGGAGCTGCATCTCATCCAGGAGCCCCTGGCTTGGCACAGGCACCACAAAACTTAATTGCCCCAACTTCCCTGAGTGCAGGAGATGTCCCCCCAACAGGCAGAGCATTTTTCTGTGGGGTACAACCCATGGCAGGAGGGAACCTGTGGCGTGAGACCCTTCAGTGGGTGGGAGCAGGAGCAGAAGGACCTGCCTGGTACTGCCCATCTGAGAGTCCAGAGCTGTGCCAGCTCTGGGGGTTCTCTGCCACCCCACTGGCAGATCCTGGGCACCCTCAGCCAGGGTCAGAGCACCCTCAGTCGGGCAGAAGGGAGGTGCCACAGCTGCTCCCCACTGCACCTGTGCCAAGGTGGAGGATTCGGGCGACCTTTCCTCATCCTGACGCGTCCCAGTGGGATGAAAGGTCGCCGTGTTCCTGCACATCGCCTGCTCGGGCCTGACCTCGGCGTTCCAGCGGGGGCGGAGGGACACTGCAGATGTCCTTGGCGCCCGATTCAAGGCTGTTCTCGTGGCTCTGCCAGCAAGGCGAGGCCTGTGGGATCGGGCACTTCAGGGATGTCCCACAGGGTCACAGATTTGCTGGCACAGGCTGATCCAGACCTTCTTGGGTGGGCTCTCACCCTCCCTTCCCCAGGTCTGGGTGGTGTGCCAGCTTGTGGGCACCCAGGTGTGAACGCTGAGTGCAGCCCCCATTGAACAGAGAGGTCTGAGCACACGAGTGGGGTGGAACCAGGGCCAGGAGTGGAAAAACAAATAGGGTGGAGCTGACAAACCCCAGGGCTGGCGGAATCACCCGGGGTAGGAGCACTGCCCTCAGGGCATGCCCACACTGCTCACACCCCTCTGCCTACAGATCTGTGCCCTGCTCTTCGCCAGCCTCTACATCCTCTGCCACTTCATCATAACCCATTTTAAGAAGCACACGGATTTCACAGCAGGTAAGAGAGTGGCAGCTGCCAGAGCCAGGCAGCCCTGGACAGCCCCATTCAGCCTCCCGAGGGCTCCTCCTCTTCCTCTCTTGCTTTCGGTCTCCCCCAGCAGCCCCGGCCCCACCACAGCCTGGTTACCCTGACACCAATCGCTGCCCCAGGTGGGAGCAAAGCCCAAATTCCCCGGGAGGATTTCTGCAGCGTTTGGAGCGGGGAGAGCTTGGGCAGGGGGAGGCAGCGATGCTCTGGGCAGGCCGAACTCCCCCAGTCCTTTGCTTTGGGATTTTGTCCCCACAGTTCACGATGACGAGGATGCTGCTGTCAACAGGATTGCGTAAGTTCCTGCTTGTCCCCTCCTCTTATACTCCAGCCTCTTCCTCAGCCAGGACACCGTGTCCTGTGGGTGCTGGTGATGTGACACCCAGGCTGTGACACCCAGAGGTGATGCTTGTCCCCCTGGCAGGCTGGGGCTCTGTACCTTCACCCTGGCTGTGGCACTGGGTGCCGTCCTCCTCCTGCCCTTCTCCATCATCAGCAACGAGGTGCTGCTCTCCTTCCCCCAGAACTACTACATCCAGTGGCTGAACGGGTCCCTCATTCATGGTGGGTGCATGGGGTGTCCCCAAAATCTTTGGGTCAGGGTTGCCCTGCCTCAGAGCTCACCCCATGCTGTTCCCTCTCTTCCAGGCCTCTGGAATTTGGTTTTCCTCTTCTCCAATATGTCCCTGGTCTTCCTCATGCCCTTTGCCTACTTCTTCACCGAGTCAGAAGGGTTTGCAGGGTCCAAGAAGGTGGGTGATCCTGCACTTGTCCCCCCTGTCCCCCCCTCTGTGACTCCCTGCTAACCCAGCTCCTGCAGGGCATCATGGCCAGGGTGTATGAGACATCTGTGGTGCTGCTGCTGCTGACACTGCTGGTGCTGGGCATGGTCTGGGTGGCCTCTGCCATCGTGGGCAACGACGCTGCCAGTCGCCAGTCGCTCTACGGTGGGTGAGCTGGGCCCTCCCTGCTCCAGGATCAGACCCTGACACTGAGTGGAACAAGGGATCTCTGGTGCCACTGGCCTGATCCTGTTGTGTCCACAGATCTCTGGGAATATTATCTGCCCTACCTCTACTCCTGTATCTCGCTTTTCGGCGTCCTGCTTCTGCTGCGTAAGTTGTGCCCCCGCCAGGCCCTGCTGGTGCTCCATCCAAATGGGGTCTGGAGGGGCTGGAGCCTCCAGGATCCTTCTGAGGGTGTGGGGAGGGTAGGATGGCGGGGCACCTCCTGTTCAGCCTCTCCTCCCACCACAGTGTGCACCCCCTTTGGCCTCTCCACCATGTTCACCGTCACTGGGAAGCTGCTGGTGAAACCCCGGGTGAGGTGTCCCCCCGCAATCCCTCTGCCCCAGCTTTGGGGCTGTCTGCTCTCCCACCTCGGGCATGGGGAGCCATTCCCACAGCCCAGCAGCCACTCACAGGCTCCTCACCCACCCCCAGCTCCTGGAAGACCTGGATGAGCAGCTGAGCTGCACAAGGTTTGAGGAAGCCGCTGTGTCCCACAGGATCCGCTCTGGTGGGTGCTGCTGCTTGGCAAAGGGGAGCATGGGGTGGATTGGGAGCCCCTCTACCCCACCACATAGGAGCCCTCATCCCCTCTGAGCCCCTTGGGTCTCTCCCCAGCAGGCAAAGCTTCCTGCTGGCTCAATCTGGACATGGAGATGCTGCGGGAGCAATTCTTTGCTGTCCGGAGCAAGAGGCGGAAGCTGGGTGAGGAGCCTGGCCGGGGCAAGGGGACA